TATAATTGATTAAACATTAAATGCGTTACCATTCCTTATTTCCATCGCAAGTAAGTCTAATAGTTGTTTGTTAGGGTGGAGAGTGCCTAACAAAAATGCTACGTCTATCCATTAGCGCAGATGAGTGTTGACGTTTCCCACTTTCATTGACCTACTAGTGGGTGGTGTTGAATAAGGGGTTCTGCTTCAAGCTAATAAATATCTTTAGTGGATGCGCAATGTAAATTAAAGAAAGTGACTTAAGTCGAGTATATAACCTTATGCTATAATGTTATCTAATATCTTTTCAGCTAATTATTCTGGTACTTTGGACACCTTTTAAGACAAGAATAAGTTGTTCAAAAGCAGGACTCGGCACGAGCTGGCATAGGGAAATTCCAAAGCAAAGTCCCCTTTGACCCTAATACCCAAATATAAAAAACCCTTAAAAAGAAACAATGACTTGTCGACCAACAAAGCGTCAATATTGAGTCTTTTCGGCCATAGAAACGATATCCACTTTGCTTTTTGTCCCAAAAACGATATCCAGCTTGACCCGCTGCCATTTGTGCCAAGCCTCGTTTAAAAGTTCGTTCCAACTTTTATCTGTCATAAAAAAATGCGGACAAAGGTGGGCAAACGTTCAAACATTATTCAATGCAACTTTTCTCCCTTTTTCCACGGCCTTGTGTTTCAAGTAGTCCACTTGGAGTCATTCAAATGACGCCGAATTTCGAAGCTACCGTGGAAGAGTAAACACAAAAAAGTGAGCGCATTCTACTACCATTCAATAGAATAAAGCAAGATCTACAAGTTGGCTTACAAGCCTTCGACAAGCTTCTATCCATGTAAAGCATGAAACCAGAAGAAAAATTCAAGTGCTTGGAAAACTGCGTCTCCGCTCTGAAATTCTTAGAGACCTTCGATTTGTACAAACATGTATTCTCCACAGCGAATGTTTATGTGTACATTTGTGAATTTTTCCATGGAGGGAATATGATACAAAAATGGTCAAAAGTAGATGTAGTGATTTTCTGGTTTTTGGCGGCAAATTTCATACCTCTCAAAAAGTACCCTATTTTCAGATGTATAAGCCGAACCCTCCTTGCTCTAAACGCGAGCAGACCCAGGCGTGCCGCTGCGCAAGTTCGCGAAGCGGTCGCTTTCTCGCACATTGCTCTCACTTAACGCGCCCCAAAGTAACAAGCAGTCTTTTGGCGTGTGCACCTTTAGAGCAAAGGTGCGGCTTGTACACCTGGAAATAGGGTAATCAGTGTAAAAACTTGGATATCCACAATTATACTTACAAAGGTTTGCACTACAGAGTTACCTATCTTTAAGTAGTTCAAGATGGTTCTGGATAAAGCATACAAATTTTTATTTTTTCGGTTACATAGAAACATTACGAACCTGTACATACGACCTTCTAGTATAAAGAATGTGTGCGTGAGCAGGTTGAGTTTCAAGAAATTTTTTGGATATTTTTTAGCTATCTAGAATTTTTTGAAATGTGGCTACAACTTCAAGTAGATTAAACTTGGTACGAATGTTTAAACTCTTATAAAGCTTATTTTGTTCTATCAAATAATACCCGATCCACTTTCTTCGTATTCACCCTGCCAATATGATATGATTGCTTATGATGCGACACTATTTTCCAGACAAGCTGGTACATCAATCAGCGATCGTTATTGGACTTCTTCATTTCTCAATGAGCGTTTTTCGATTTGATTTCTGAAAGCTTTGCAGATGGAATTCTCATTACTCGAACCTCACACCTTAAAAATTCAAGATCCAAGTTTCAAGTGGAGCCGCCATTTTCTTAGTAAAATGTTAGATGATGATTGAATTTTGGACTCTAATTCCAGTTGAAGTTTTGATGCGCTCATATATGACAAGAATTCGCGAGAACAAACTTTTTAAGAAAACAACGTTAAAAACAAAACAAAACAACATACTAATTGCAAGATGTTTGCGCTACTTATATGTTATTGAAGCTCGTCGAGAGCTGAAAAAACTGAAATTTTGGGGAAAATTGTAAAATGGTTAAAGGCAGCGGCTCGGCAGATTTTCAACTTCGGGGTTTTGGCAGATTTGGAGCTATTCCGGCCCCCTGAATCACGATATGAACTCCCCTTAGCGCGAAAATGGGGAAAACCCGTTTTTCGAACCCCCCCCCCCCCCCTGAGACGGGCGCGGACGAGTGAGCCGTTTTTCTCTGCCGAGAGACGCTGAGTAAGGAGGTAGAGAGTGCTAGAACAATTCTGCCTCACAAAGCTACGAGTTACGGCGCGTTTTCTAGTGGAGAACATACTCGTCCGAACAAGTTATTAGGGGAGCGAAAGGAGGAAGGGGAGCGGGGCTTGGGCCGCTCCCCTGGCTTGAAAAGTTCACATTTTCGGCGTGGAATTGCTGTTTTGATTCACTTTGCGGGCCTCCTATCCATTTGTGTCAAAATCTGAAGTAGATCAATCTGCCGAGCTGCTGCCTTTAATAAAAACGTGTGTTCAAAATCTCGAGTAGGGACCCACATAAATGCGTGTGCTTGATGCAGGCATTATAAGTTATTGATTATTTTCTACAGAGTTAATTCCCGACACTCTGGAATTATCATTTTGTGACTTTTATGACACTATTTTTGATGTAAGTTGAATGCTCTTTTGTCTTCGAATCTTGGCATGATAAGATGTCAGTAGATAATTGTGTCAGTATTATGCCTTCAGATTCTGTGGTGGAGACTTTAATGACCTTACGTTTCGACAATGTCGTCGTCATCAGAGGTCTGAAAACGGATTGTAGGCTCTTTGACTGCTCACCATACTTAGGCACCTGTTCGAATGTGTTACAAAAAACTTTGTTTTCTAATGAGGATTCATGGATTTTCGATTTTATATCCTAGCCGAATGCCCATGGAAAAAAAGGCTTTCCCTCTACTACAGATAATTTGCGTTAAGCAAAGAACGTCTGAACTTCAATGTCCAATTTTTTTGTCTTATCCAGGCCTTTTCATGGCGCTCATTTTGAAAATGAAGACTAAATAGCGCAAACTCGTCGATAATCCGCGTTTTGAGACTATTTCCAGAGATCATAGGCGAGTCCCTGGCTCTATCCTTGTAGAAAGCAAGTATGAACACGACGAACTATGAACTGAACAGTTTTTGCCATGAGAAAACGCGTTAAGGGCCAAGAAGATATTGTTCAGTAAGGGGTGCGCACACCGGAATGGGCACCTGCACACGACTCTAGAATCTTTGGCCTTACTACTTTCCTCCTTTTCTCTGTTAAAGTACTATTTGGAGACCGGGTTCGCGCAGTAGTTATAGCTCGAGGCCTAGTATTTGACTTGGTAGTAGTGAAAGAAGTTCGAACAAAAAGTGGTTTTGGGATTTCTTGCTTACCTGGGCCTCTACGCTATGCTGAATCCAAAAACCACATTGAAGAGCGCAAAAATGGTGAAAAGGGGCTCTACGCAGAAAAATCAACAGGTGGGCAGATCCTTCCCTCTGTGTTACTCTTCCAGCTTCCAGAGCGATTTTCTTTCTTCCGCTAGCCGCCCTACATCGCCACTGGCCAAGGGCGAACACGTAACTTGAAGGCGGAACCGAAGAGATCACTCCGGAAGTTGGGGGTGACTTCATAGAGTAGAAAACCCGCCCACCTGTTGATTTTCATCCTGCGTTAGAGCCCTTTTGCGCCGTTCCGGATTCAGCATAGCGAGTAGGTCCAATGCAAAAAATCCCCGAATCGACCTTTTACCCGGACACTGCCTTCAAATCTGCCCAAACGCTGCCTTTAAATGGCTAGATTCAAAGGTGCGCAAGATAGTACAAGACCGCGTGATCAAAAAGGTGCATTAATAAGCTCTATCTAAAGTTAAAAAAGCTTCTAGCCTTGTTTATTGAGAATTTACAAAAAAACAACCGTACAAAAAAAATTTCATCGCGCTTACTTCTCTGCCCAGAATTCAAGCGCGAATCAAGGTAATTCAAAAAATCGTAGGTGATTAAATTTGTCCACATTAAACATGTATCGTATAGAAATTATCCATAAGATATCGGCACCTCGACATGGTAGTCGTTCTGGTCATTTTGTGGCCCATAAATCTTTTTGAAGAAGGTAATCGCCAGAGTTGCTCATTTCTGCAAGGCCTGTAGGCCTCCTGTTGAAAGTTTTTGCAAAATCGTTAGCCGTTCACTATGAGAAAATCAAAAAAATCTCGTAGTTTAGGACTTTGAGGCCTACAAAAAGACTAACAAACCTCTAAGGGAATTTGTTAAAAACGAGGATTTAGAGGAAAAAACCTTTTTTGACTATCAATCCTATTTTTCCGTCCGCTTGCAATATGAATATAGTTAGACCGCGCGTTATTGCGAAAGGTTTGCTGCCTATGATAGCATTTATCGCATTGGAAAATGTAGTTAGAAAGTTATAGCAGGTAAAATTGAGAACTGGCAAAACGTTCATTATTTTTGCATTAACCTAATACATTGTAATTACAAATTTGCAAACCAGTGGCCCAAAAAAATCGAAACTGTTCGATTTTTTACGGGCTTATGATCTTGATGTTCTGAAAAGGACGAGCCCCGAGACAAATTTTTTCATTAAGTTACCCTTGTTTTCAAGAAGATTCTAAAAAATGACTCGATTAATTTTTAAAAAGTCAACTGCACATTATAACCCGCGATCTCGCAGGGTCCACCATGTATTGAGTATGATATTTATTAAAATTCAAAGGAGATGTAAAAATGTAATATTCCTACTCATTTGCCTACAAAATGCCTTCTCTCCTTTCCCTTCTCCTAGTCAAAAAAGCTACTGTCTTCGCTGCTCATAGTCAGTGTAGTCACACTCACTTTACAGTTATTTATGCCAAGATACTTAGTTTTTTACAGCATTATTCCAATGAAGCATGGACAGACATGAAGTCCTTAGTGCTGCGAAGTCCTCGCGCCGTTAATATTCGGAAAGGAAAAAATGTCCTAAGAAGAAATATTTATTATCAAACTTCCGGCAATGCGCAACAATATGCAGCTTATGCTCTGCCTGGAAGCGAGGTGTCTTCAGACATATGCAGTGAGTATATATATGTATAAATCAGCAATCTAACTGAAATTTTTTGAGTTATTTAGACTGTGGTCCTCAGTCAAGCGCATGCCCGTCTGGACCACCTGGGCCACCTGGACAACGAGGTTTGGACGGAGGTGGGTCCATAGGCAGAAGCGATGCCTTACTTTTGATTTACTTGACATTTTTACTCCTTCTTTCTTCATTCTTCTCCTCAACTCTTAACATCTCTGATCAATCATTTCTTTCTGACAGTATTGTAGAAACATGGTGATGTGGCAAAGTACGTAATTAGGGAACACCGTTTTGCGGGGTCCGGGGCTGAGCCCCGGAAAAAGATTCTCAGTGCAAACAAAAGAATATCGGGTCATGTTCATTACCTTATCCATTTAATCCTCAGAAGCACTGTAGAGTTCGCGCGCGTCACGCCGCGCCGTCGCTAATTGCCGCATGCGCTACGTCTTGGCCGATGCCGTTTGGAACAGCATACATAATCAGTTCTCAATACGGGCGTAACGATATAGCACCAAATTTCGTAGTCGAACAAACAGGGACTAGTGGAAACAAGATATGAAAAATTAGGGAAAACTTATGTGAATGGAAGGTGTACCAAGCATTTTTCCCCGAAATTCCCATAACTGGTGAGTGAAAATGTGAATTCAAATGGCTCGTTGGCAACGCGCAGATGTCGATATGGTATAAAACTTAGTATTATACGAACAAGGGCCTGCAGGGGTTAACTCTGAAAATTTCCCAATACCAAAAATAGAAAAATGGCTCGTTTGCAACGCACAGGTGACATCGCATGAAACTTAGTGTTAAACGCGCAGTAGGACTAATAAACAAAGTACGAAAAATTGCGAAAAAAATTATGTGAATGGGAAGCGTGCCCAACTTCTTTCCAAATTAGGTGGGTAATTGCAGTTGGAAGTTTTGCCTGCCTCAGGTGGCACTAGGAATCTCAGGTAGGCAAAACTTCCAATTCAGGAAAGCTTTTCAAAATTGTTACATAAACCTGTTCTACACCTAAATTTTAGTATGTAGGGTAACGTCGTTTTGGTTCCAAAACTCCTCCTCTCCTCCTTGTTAGGATCAAGAATAACAAGGACGCAGGTTCTTTGGAGGAAGAAAGCGCGCTCCAATTGAACAACCTACGCAGCTGGCGGGATGAAGTGGAAAATCGTGAAAATCGGTATCGATAATGGCAAAGACGTTTGACCGATGTCCATTTGCCGCTGAGCCCTGCATTAGCTACAGTCTGCCCCAATCCTAACCAGGCCAAAATCGGCATGGCGGGAGTCCGCGCCGCGAGTGTTTCGCGCCACATCTGCGGCTAACTAGTCTGCTCTCTCCTCGATCTCTTCACTCTCCGCGACAGCGCGCATATGCAGCGCAATCCCCTAGCGCTGCGAGCACGCAAATTCAGCCGACGGTTCGGCCTGATCCCGATTGGGGCAGACTGTAGTAGTGTACATCACCGACTGCTCGAATCTGATGATTATAAAAAAAGTTACACGACGCGTATCTCTTTTAGCCAGTGCTCTTCGTTCCCTTTATATTCATTCTCCATTAGGATCAATCACTAAGAGTGAGCTTTTACAGGTGAAGGCATATACTAGGGAGCCTCGAATTATTGTTTTCGTCATTTTCTGATTCCTCCAAACGTGCTGAGATTGTGACTGCACTTTGGAGCTTGCAGAGATATCAAAGTCGTTTTTTTTGGTCATGGGAAAGAAAGTGCGCAAGGAGCAAGTTTGCCATGCGCCTTATCCAATCCTTCAATCAACGATGTGGACCACCGGTGATCCACGCACTTCTTGCTGCTGTGGATTACCGTGGCCCCGCACCTGTTGCAGAGTCATATCTTTTGTAGGTCCGGTTTTCCTTCCGTAGATGTATATTCTTTCCAATTTTTTGCACTTTAGGACGTGCAGGCTCCGTCGTTCACAAAAATGTTTATGTTTGTTTGCAAAACAACCCTACATTTCATAAATGACCATAAAACCTTCCTGCGCTGAAAGTGTTTGCAAAATCGCGCCGTCCCAAAGTGCCGCCACGCAAAATCAGGCGTCGTCGTCAATTGGTTGAAGACACCGTCCACCGTGTTGAGGCTCTCGAGCTTTGGCAGTTTACGATAGTGGGGCCCCCCCATCAAGTCAGTGCCCAAGTCGCGGCGCAAAATGTTGTAAAAGCAAGGAAATCGCTTCGGAATAGCGAGGCATGAGGACCCCAAGTCAGAACCGCCTCCTCCAGTAACCGCCCTTCCGTGCGCGCCGATCCATTACCGTTCCGGAAAACCGGCTGTGGGTTCTCCTGAACGCTGTTGTTGCGGATCCTTGATTTTATATTCGGAACCAGGGACATGAGAAGGCCCCGAAACGACCAAAACATGGAAGTCGAGAATATGGGTGGAAGGTGCGTTTAGGCAGGTACTGATGAGTGCGTTCACACGACTGGGGCGTATCTGCCCATCCCAATTGTGACTGGATGTCTGATTGGCTCTACCTCGCATTACACTTGGGGATATTCGGACTTTTTCATGAAAGGCCGCCCTCACTTACTCGCCTGTACCAACTCCCAGCCCCGGTACCCAAAGTTTTCTAAAAATAGAAAAAATCGATGAAGTAGATTTCTATTCATAATCAGCGCTCTCACTTACCTCCTCCCCCCTACCGACTCCCAGCCCCTTAGCTCAAAATTTTCGAAGCGATAAAGATGGTAAGATGGGGACAAGCCTGTACTTCAACACATCTTATTTTACTTCTTGTTATCGAGCGATCTAAAGAGAAAGCAGTGATGTAAATCTTTATGCTGTATCCAAAAAACTCTTCATCGAGTCAAAAAGTGATTGATGTACACAAGGATGACACACTCCAAATAAAGACAGTTTAGTATGAAGGTGAATGGGAAACCTTGCAAAATGGTGTAAGCATCTAATTATTTCAGCTGAAGGAGCTGTTCGGATTCGTAGCGCCAAGGGTGCTATCATTTTCCTGGAGCAACAACGATGGCCACTTATATTTTAGTATACAGAATGCCCCAAAAAATGTGGCTACTGCTTGATTGTTTGTTAATTACTCTCTTGTCATGAAGTCTTTCAAAAAGCTTTAGGTACCATTTTATGGAGCTGGCTTCAACTTAGATTTACGGTATGGAGCGAATCATCGATCGTTCTTCATTGCTGTAGGATTACGGTAGGAAGGCGTCGCTGTGAAAAGCAGCATTTTCCAATGTTCTTTGAAAAGGTCTAAAAATTTCTGATGGGGTTTTCATGGACGCTGAGTTTGATAATCAACTTTGTACGAAATGTTAAAGCATTTTTTAGAAACAGATTAGACAGCAGCCACTGCTTATCTTGCTTAACTTTTGAAGGAAGCATTATGATGAGGTGCAAACTTTATATTTAGAAACAGCAACTATAATTAACCTAGTGTGAGAGTTTTTGGTTGTTTGGTTCCTTTTCTGACTAGGGAAGGAAGGTTGGTCGAAGTGGCCTTTGGAAACAAAATGTGCACTGCCTGTAGAGCTTGGAACGCTGATTCCAAATTTGCTTTCGACATTTGCTGCGAGCTTCTGGGTGAGGAGTTACGAAGATATTTGTGAGTAGAAAGGGAAATGCAAGATTAGTGTAAAATCAATCGTAACATTTTTTTGGAGCTTAACTAATAGTCGGGTCACTCGGTGCAACAAATGATTGATTCAAATATAACAATTTGTTACTGCCTCATTTGAACGCCAGAAAAAGGTTACGACTGATTTTATACTAATCTTGCTTTGAATTTTTACTCACAAAAACCTCCATAACTCCACTCCCAAAAGGCCACAGCAGATAACAGAGGTAGATTTGGAATCAGCCTTCCAAGCTCTACAAGCACTTTGACCAACCTTCCTTCCCTTGTGAGACCAGATACATGGCCCTCCTTGGCTCAAAACCCTTCTCAAAGTTCCTACCGTAATCCTACATTAATGAAGACACTCAAATTGTTTATGACTTATAGTAGGCGCATTCCAAAAGTACAGAAAGCAGGGCATTTAGCAGTGCCAAAACTTATTAATCTCTGCATTTGTAGTAAGCGGGCGTTATTTGAGACATCCTGCAAAATTAGCGACTTGCGTCCGGCTGAATTCGCTCGAAGTATGTACCGGCCCTATTATAACCAAAGCTCGTATGCCTCAATGTCCATCTTCGTTTGGAATGCTACAAAACAAAATGCCTTTACTTTAGTGGGTAGGCTGATAATACCCGGTGTTAAAATGTTTGCAATTCTGTGTAAAAATCTCAAATGCACTAAAATAACAAAATCATTATTTACTATCTAGTGAAACTTTATTGCAATGTGGTATACAATCTCCTACTAACCGCAATGTCTCCTACTCAAAATAGTCCCGTCATTAACGAAAAATCTGTGAAAATAGAATAGAGGCAACTGTGCAACATTTACAAGCAAGAGTGCTCACCAGTGTGGGCCTTTGCTGACCAAAACTATGAGCAGCGCAAAGTAGGAGAGACTGACAGTTAACACGCTTCCAATTTGAAGCTGAAGCAATCAATCAAAATCCACATCCATTTTTTACTGTCGCAAGTTGGAGGTATGCAGTTCCCATACAGTTCGAAGCTGATCACACCTTCAAAAAGATGCATTATCGAGTTTTGCAGGAAAAAATGCAGATGAAGGAAGCTTGATAACTCAGCAATTGGCCCTGTACCAGATGCGCAATAGCTAGAATACGAATTCGAATTTAACATTCGAATGGAATTCATTTGATCGTTTTTTGACTACTCAAGTTTTCGATTTTATTCGAAACCCCTTTTTTTATTATTCTAATGTCGAAATTTTGTTCGAAACCCCATTTTTTGATATTCGATTTTCCAAATTTTATTCGAAAATAGAAAACTCCGACTTTCAAACTTGGGAAGCGAATACATTCGAATGTTCTATTTGAATGATCGAGTTGTTATTTCGGACCCACGTACACCAGCCATTTTTCGAACTCGAATCTGCTTCACGACGGAGCGCCTCTGATTGGTTAGCACCTCAACTGCGATTGGCCAGGCGCTGAGCATTAAAATCCCGAGCCTCTAAAACGACTTTTGACATTTCTCGCGTCAAAGATGTCTCTGGAGCCTGCAAGACACAGCTCAGTTCGTATCTAGCGCATGAGACAAACGAAAAGAATCGCGAAAGATAATTTTCAAACTTCAGAGCCTGGCTACGCTGGACTACCTGGGCAACGCGGAGCAAATGGAGTGGTTTTAGGGACGTACCGACAGGACATGCCGGGCTGTATTCGTTGTCCTATGGGGCCACCTGGCCCACAGGGGATGATGGGTTATCCAGGAGAACAAGTTTGTGTTTTGAGACTCGGGAAGATTGGCAGAACATGCCAGTAATGAGAGAATTTTAGGGTCCAATGGGACCACCTGGACTACCCGGTCAGTCCTCTTACATAGGAGAACCTGGACCGCCTGGGTCTATGGGTGATCGTGGAGGCATGGGTGGGTCTATTTTTGTCTACTTATGAAACGTTTCGAAATCATGTGCCCTGGAAACAAAATTGCACCACGAGATGCATTGCGAAATTTCTGATAATAGCATACACGATTTATAAAATATGCAAGTCACATTCACACCTGTATGTATATTTCAAGTGCGGGAAGTGTCTCACCCTAGCTGAATTTTCGCGCCTAAGTAATATGCCTGCCAGGCACATTCGGACTAGACTATGATGGCGGCGTGGCAGGAGTTCCCAAAACCTAGCCGCTTTTTCTCGCAGGGGTACTTGACACCTCCAGAAATCTCTTAGAGGACATCACACCTTTTCGGGGGCAAAGGGCGGCTCCGCCCATCACTCCCTCTAGCTGCCCTCGTTATGAATGTGTACACGCACTATAAGACGTGTACTGTTTTTGAAGATGACAGCACTGGAATCGAGAAACAAAAAAGTCCCTCAGGGAGATAGCTTTCACTCACGTTTTCGGATAAAATGACGCTTTCTCAAAATTTTGTAGGTGCTCGCGCTAGAGTAAATTTGTGAAACACATCGTATTAATATAAATCAAGCAGAAGTTATGATTCTTCCAATCATAGTATATAACAGAGAAGTTAGTCAGTTACCTTAAAATAAATAAATAAGTAACAGAGAAATTAGTCAATTACACGCAAGTTCTAAAGGTCATCTAAGAATTATAGCAAATAAAAATAACTTGCAAATTTGGTGTCGTATTTGGAACTCTTGGCCAACTCTTCAATCAAACATGAGCCAGAAGTCTGGTATTCTAGTACATGGAAATAACCTATATATTGGTTTTTGATAATCACAATCTTACTGATCATTGGAGTAATTGGAATGAAAAACTCATTGAACATTTATGATGGCAGACGAAAGTAGGAAAGTATATATGTTCAATATCCTGACTACTGGGAAAAGCGTTGAGTTGCTTATTCGAGAACTTTTATATACTCCTTTCCAAATAGATGGTTCTAATATTAGGTAATAGGGTTCTACACCACTCATAGTCACTCATTATTCAACTCCTGATGCTAAATTATTTCAATCAAATGACCAGGAATTTATAATTGATCAACTAGATTCTCTGATATTTCGAATGACCGGGTTTCATACAAAAAATTCTGTGCAATTAACCTTCTGAAAATAATGTTCACCTGCTCATTTTGAAATGATGGTGTAGCAGAAGTTTCACTTGAGAAATGGTAATTACGTTCTTTGTTTTTTCTCCAATTTTCTTCCCTTACTACTTATATACTAAGTAGTCTGTGCTCTCGCTGCTTGCACACCTCACAATGAGACCAGTAAATGGGTGGAGCAATGGGCGTGACCTGACCTCTGAAGCGCGGAGGTGCTAGAACCCTCCTGGGTGCGAATGCTGGTGCGAACTTGGTGTGAGAAAAGGTGCTAGGAACTCCTGCACGCCCTCCGACTATGATTACGAGCTCCGCTACCAAGATATTGCAGTTCCCGCCCCCCTTACGCATGTCGTAGATGCTGAAACCGGAATTATAAAGGAATTTTCAAAATCGAAGTTCAGTAGCAAAATTGCTCTTATCAAACCAAAAACCGAATTTAATTGTTTTCGAGGTGGCTCTTTTCAGTTGTTGCAAAGTCAGGGTTCAGCACTGACAATGCCCAACCGAGGTCAAAATTCGATTTAGTCGGAATTTCTTTGAAACAAGATCAAAATTCGGGTTTATGGGTTTTCGAAAATCTATGAATTGTCTGCTGAAAAAGATATCCATAGTATGATTTGGTAGTTTTCAAAATAATGAAGACGTTTTTCACTATTCTTTGACGCTCACTGCTCAAAGGCGGCGTGGCAGGAGTGCTTAAAGCTTCGCCGCCTTTCCTGCAGAGATACTTTGCACCTCAGGGAAGCCTCAAAGGGACATCACATCTTCACAAGGCCGAAGGGTGGCTCCTCCTATTGGTCCGAGCGGAGTTTTGTATTTATGGATAGTGGAAATTAATCAGATTAAGATTGATTTGAAAAATTCTATGCTTTCCTGCAAATTCTGAAAGCAGAAAATGTCTGCAGCTGCTAGAGCGATTAGTATTAGTAATCCTTCAAAGTAAAAAATAAAACGGCGCTTAATCCTGCCATAAGAGGAGTTGATTGCTGAATGTCCTATAACCAGCATTTAAGCTGGCCACCGGATTTTTTCGCTTGAATCTTGGAAAAATTTTTTTCAGAAAATACTCGTATGATTTTCTTCTACGAACATGCACAAATTGTATATTTCTAGTGTAAATACTCGAGTGGTGGATTTCTCGTTATGAATAACATCCAATAAATCGAATAGAATGATTTCGAGAAATGGCAACATTTATTCTAGGAAACACATTCTTGTAACTATTATAATTATTTGATAATCGTTGTTCGAAAAACTGGCTGCAGTTATAATGTAGTCCCAATATTAGCTCGGGTACCTGTCAAGAATAACGATAGCTGGCAATAGCGGCACCCGAGTGGCCGGGTGTCAATAGACGGTGTACAGGTAGCATCTCCCTAGCAGCGGACGAGTTTACGCAGGCACCACATTTTGAAGCAGTAACTGCCCAAAGCGTTGTGCTTCTTCATATAAATTCTGCTATTATTTAAGGATGGAAGTAATCAGTAATCACATCGCCATAAATTCGCCATAAATAGTAATGTTTTGCCTAATTCAGCATGCGACTTATTTAAGCTTTAATGATTAACGTAGGAAACGAACTTTAATGAAAAGAACTGAGGTTTGAATCATTTTTCCGATTTCATAAATGAGTGAGGGCGGGTTGTTTTGCGCGCGCGAGCAGCTGGCAGCTAGCGGCTAGTAGAGCTGTCGTTATTCTTGACCGCCACCCAAATTTGGTACTGACCTGAGTTGTGCTTGAATTTAGTGGAAATCACTTTTTCACTACCTTTTCCAGGCCTAGTGAAGTAGGAAAAGAAGTTTCAGAATTTCTTCAGGCTCTTTAGTTCATACTCTTCTGTGGTATCGTTGCTGGACTCCATATGTACAGCCATTTCCATCAAACGCCACAGTTTAGATACTTCTGCACATTAGAAAAGTATCTAATTGTATCTTATATTCACTTACGAAATACCTTCTCACTTTTTCCTACTTTTTTTACTCGTATTACTTACCTCAATATCCGAATCTATATTTGCGCTGCTCACACACCTCACAATAAGACCAAAAGAGCGGGCCTGACCTACGTCGGAGGTGTTAAAACCCTCCTGGGTGAGAAGTACCGTCGAGTAGATTTTCCGCTTAATTTAGTGTGCTTGCACAGAAGGTGAAATGCGGTAAAATTTGCGCGTGAGGGAATAGCTTCGACTGTGACGCCGGCCAATTGCGCGCACCAAACGCTAGCAGTGATGGCGCAGATACCTCTTCACGCGTAAATTTTACCGCATTTCATAAACTGTGCAAGCACACTATATTAAGCGGAAAATCTACTCGACTGTACTAACTATGGTGCGAGGAAGGATGCTTGGAACCCCTGCACGCCCTCCCTGCTAATAATGATTTTCAATGATAGAAAAAGAAAAAGCCGTGGGAACTAATAAAATAATAGAAGTAAACTGACAATGAAAGTGCTTCTTGCCAGAGAAGTCACTTAGTCGGATGGCAATTTGGAAGTTGGATGTTTACCATATATGAAGCTCGAAAAGAATGTAAAGCTTTTACAGAGCTTTTACAAAAGCTTTTACATCTGCGAAGCATCTATCTAGAGCTAAGCTTTTTCGTATTTATTAATGAGAATCTGGCCAAGAAAGGGAAGGTGTGGATAACAGTATGGCCGAAATACTCGAAATAGTACAAATGACGTCAGATTAGGGAGGACGCAGGAGTTCTTAGCACCTCCATTCGCACAAGCATTCACACTCCAGAAGGCTCCTCTCACCATCGCGCAGAGGTCAAGTTCCGCCCATCGCTCCACGCCTTTACTGGTCTCTTTCGAAGCCTATATGCTGCGTGAATAGCATGAACATGCAAATGCGAGAAAATTGAAAAATTGAAAAATTTAAAATTGAAAGTCGTCAAAAATGTGCTTGCAAGGCAATCCCCCTTATTATTGCCTTTTTATAAGCACTTTGACATCTGCCTTTTTATAAGCACTTTGACATCCCAGAAAAGGCCTTACATTATTCAAAGTAAGTGAGTTATATTTCTGATACAAAAAGTAATTAAAGCTTGTTACGTTAGCCTAGGGAGCATTGCTATGAACGTCCCAGAGACCTCTTGAGGATACAGTCTGCTTCAATTGGGATCAGGCTCAAATTTATGCGCTCGCAGCGCTGGGTGTTGCGCTGCATATGTGCGCTATCGGGAAGAGCGAAGGCATTGGAGAGAGTGCAGACATGTTCGCCGCATAGGGCACAAAAATCTGGCGATTTCGTTGATTTCTTTTGAATTACGCGAGAGCTTTTGCATCTATCTAATAAGGGGGGCGTATCCTTACGTGCGGGCTCCAATTTGGAAAACGTCGCGCGCGACAGGCTGCCAGTGATCGCACTCGAGGAATTTCAGCCAGCATGATCCGCAGCACATGGTTTTTCAGTTTTCCATCCTTTGTTGAGGTTCACAGACTATTCTCATATTAGTTTTGCTTGATTATTTAAAGTTCTGCCACAAAAGTTGTAAAATTAGCTCTTCAAAGGACAAAAAAGACATAAATCAAAGAAGGGAAAAACTAACAATTTCATTTCATTTCATTTGTACGCTCAAGGCGTTCCATAAAAAAAGACACATCAAGAAGTTAGTAATACAGCGGAAACGAACAAGACATGTAAACAAATGCAGACATCATCATGTCAGTCCGAGTCTGATCCTAATCAGACTAATGTGAGAAGATGAAACAGCTTGCACTGAATATGCTGGTAGGCTAATAAATAAGTATGCAGATGTAGGCATGAGATTTATAACTCCAAAACTTTGAATCTATGGAGATGGGACGCATGCCCCCTCGTTGCCAGCGGAACGATCTTAGTTACTC